ATAAGTAAACTTTGTAGTCTAATTTCGACTTTTGTAGTCTTTTATAGTGTATCAGTAAACTGTGTAGTCTAAGTCCGACTTTTTTGTAGTCTATCAGTAAACTTGGTAGTCTATATCTGATTCTTATAGTACAGGATGCACCTTCCTTTTTTGGTCATTTTTCCCATGATACAATAATTGTAGCCCTTTCTTTTAGCTTTCTGAATATACTGAAATCATGTTATTTGGTTTTGTTTTCATAGAGAAAAACACAAAAAAAAAAAACGCGACACTTTTGAAATTCCTTTACCTCATATCTCCACAACGGGAGCACTTCAGAACATAATTCAAACAGATTCGGGAAGCTACAGTGTAGGGCTACAACTTTCGTTTTTGACCATTTTTGGTAATTAGTCATGTGACCACCCTCCAGGGAAGCCCATTGCATGGACCCTGACATGTGGGATACATTTGAAAAATTGCAATGAAATATCCAGGGATACATTTGAAAAATCACAATGAAATACCCAGGGTATCTATTGAAAAATTGCAATGAAATGCCCAGGAATACATTTGAAAAATCACAATGAAATACCAAGGGATACATTTGAAAAATTGCAATGAAATGCCCAGGGTATCTATTGAAAAATTGCAATGAAATGCCCAGGGCTACATTTGAAAAATGGCAATGAAATACCCAGGGATACATTTGAAAAATCGCAATGAAATGCGCCAGGTATCCATTGAAATATTGCAATGAAATGCCCAGGGCTACATTTGAAAAATGGCAATGAAATACCCAGGGTATCTATTGAAAAATCGCAATGAAATGCGCCAGGTATCCATTGATATTTTGCAATGAAATACCAGGGATACATTTGAAAAATTGCAATGAAATATCCAGGGATACATTTGAAATTTTGCAGAAAATGCGCTGGGTATCTATGGAAAATTCACTATGAAATACCCAGGCCTACATTTGAAATGCCTTTCAAAAAATCCTAAGCATTATAGATATGGCCTCTAGGCTTAAGTCTAAGTTATAGAAATGACCCTCTAGGCTTGGGTCTAGGTTATAGAAATAAAGTGGTAGCCACTAGTGGGACATCGACATTTCAAGCTTCAAGTCAAGGTGGGTCTGTTATATCCATTCTCACTTGTCTGAATGCTTACCAACAACAGACTCAAGATTACGACGACAGTCACGACACCCAATGGTCCAGACAGTTCAACGTGCTGAGATGGTAAGCCCTCATCGACGGGAGCTCTTCATATCTGATTTATTAATCAGTTCCCAAGGAAGCGCTCCTCACTGCTCAAGATCAACCCAATTTTATCTGAGGGTTTCTCACCGCCTGCTTCAAATCCATTGCCCAGCACTACGTAGACGTGTGGTGCTACTTAGCATGGAACGGAAGAAGCTGGTCTGTGTGGTTATGTGGGTCGAGTGTGATGGATGAACTATGTATACTTATCAAGTTGGGGTTTCTATTAGGGCAACGGAGAACGACAAAATGGAAGGTCAAATTTAATGCAACCACCCCACCAGCTACAAAATCTTCTGGTTGGTATAACATCTGGACCCATACAAAACCTTCGCATGTAGGACTTGAATTGGATTGAAGAGTCGGAATCGCAATTGGTACGTTGTCCATCAGGAAAATCGCAAATGTGTGGCAGGTCGTGATTGCATGGCGGAGTGTGGCCGGCGTGATGGAGCTGGCGCCACACCACCATAATTTTGATCTCCAGATAAATTGTGCCATGTGTGTCACAATAATCCTTCATGCCATGGAGCTGTTGTCACATGTATGTGTATTGATCATGTGACATGTTGAACGTCAGAAAATTTTGGACTTCTGAACTTTTTCTTGGGCTTCATGCTGCTTCATGCTCAGTTCACACTCCTTCCTCTGGTAGTCTCCCTCCACTGTGGCAATGCGTCACCACCACCATCTCGAGTAACCATTGCTCAACCGCACCCAACCATTATTGCACCTCAGGCCTCAACGTCACGAACAACGACCTACCCCAATGACAACGACAACCACCTGGGACGTGCAGACGGTGATGATGCATGTTGTCATCACTGCACATGTTACTCAAGGTGGGCCATCTGAACTCCCTTTGCTTATCGTCTTTTACCACAACGCACAGGGAGGCCACATCGCTGTTGGTGACGTGGCAAACAACAACAGATGGAGAATGACAAACCATTGACAGTGAGGTGAGCCATCTGACTAGTCTCCTCTTTACTTTTTTAACAAGAGACGCAGGGGCCACGTCACCAATGGCGACGTGACAAACAACAACCATCCTTTGACCGCCCCCAATTGCAATGACAATGTGGCAATTCCACATCACACCACCCACAAGCACGAACAACAGCCAACAACAACGCCAACCAAAACCGACCACGATCATTTATGCAAACGACAATGGAAACAAATCACAACAAGCTGAGGTGAGGCCCCACCACCTATCTTTCTAACACAGAATCTAGGTGCTACATCTCCGTCGGCGATCTGGCAGCAAAACAATGAGCTCATTTGTTGCCATCATGTATTGTAGGACGCGAACAATGAGTACCCACCATCCCATGTTCGTCCTTTGGTGGTGCGCTTTCCCCATCTCACCATTACCTTATTCCTGACCTTTGTCACAAACAGGACCTCATTGATCTCATGGAGGAGGGCTGCATCAAGGATGGTTGGGTGAGTTCCCCAAATCATTCTCATTCACTCTTTTGTTACAATATAGTATTTACGTGTTGTTTTGTACATAGTATAATACCAATAAATGTTTTTATTTTTCACATTTGGGCAGTGTGGTGTAATTTAAAAGCTGGATTTGTGGCCCCATAATGAAAATTATGATGAGTTTGTGGTGCCATGAATGATTGTGGTGGATGTGTCGCCACCCTTCGCCACCACAAGTATAATGTCCCCATCATGGTTTGTGGGAGTGTGGCTGACCGTGGTTTGGATGAGAAGTGTGGTGCCACACATGCCACATGTGATGTGATTTTCCTGATGAGTCTATGCCTGTGTTGCATTTCCATAAACCCTTCCTACACAGATCGGCCCTACAATCGCTGTGTCACCACGTACAGCATTTTCCGCTTGCAAGGTCGCAATCATTCTCGTTTGCAGGTGCGAAGCATAAGAGCTCACTTACCGTTAATTCGAATGGCATCTAACCCTGCGACTTTCAAGATCTGCCATAGAGAAAGTCTGCTTCCAGAGGGATGTCATGAGGTGCTTCAAACCTGGGTAGCTCCCTGGCTCCTTGCTGGCCCTGTGTTGTACTTCGATAGCCTGAAAAGGAATAGCATGAGCGACGGCAAGTATCATGGCCGCGGAACAACCAATATATCGTTCCTTGAAAACCTACACCGAGATACAAACCTGAGTTATGACTTGCAATGGGCTGTTGTTCCTTGAGAAGTCACTGTCACTTGCGCATTCCGACATAGTTGAATCTGCGACCATTGAGGAAGGTGCATAGAGGAAAGAGGCGTGATCACACAAATCTACCAAAACAATCACCCAACAAGCACCCAGCGAACACCCACAAAAACGGCAACAATCTCCCACAAACCATTCCGAGCCTTGCAGTGCCCTTTACAGCTGCGAACAAGACGAGGAGAACAGGAAAATCTACAACACTGGAGCCTGAGGACATCCATGACGAGGTCAACAACTCGAGAGACTCACAAAGAGTCCAGTGTCCAGCCATCCCACGGCAGCCCCCGCAATTTTCATGTTACGAGTCCGTCCTTCACTGTTCACGTTCAGGTTCTTGAGATATAGTTTGTTTACTTGGGTGTTCCCCCTTTCTGAATCAGTAAACAAGAATTCACGAATGTCCCTCAATGGGATAACATCATCGGATTCACCTCTGAGCCTTTTCCTGGGGCTTTTCTCGTGATAGTTGCACAGAGCGGTTGATGAACTCATCAAATACCTCATCATCTACAGTCGATACTCGTCTTTCGACTACGATGTTCTATTCACTCAGTCATAACACGAAACAGCAGGCTGCTAGGGACCCTAAGGGCTCTTCAGCTATGTCATCTGGTGCGTGCAGAACGTTTTTGGTCGAGAGCTACATGAGGGAAACTCCAGAAAGGGCATTGTACAAGCTGAAGCAGCCTGCATTGAAAGTAAGCTGTGTTACTGCAGCCCAGGCTGTAGTTTTAGACCAAATTGACCTGGAATGTTGCACCTTATTCATTTCCATAGGGTGTGCAATTGGCCACTTGGCTAAAATGCCATGGGCTGTGGAACCTTGATATATTTGAAAAAATGCCTCTCAAAAATAAAACCCATTGCATCTATAATAAAATATACCCCTCAAATATGTTTTCTGCTTATAATATTCTTCTACAGCATCTATTTTTAGCCTGATATGTTTGTGATTTATTACAAATCTAAATATAGCTCACATGTGTTTCATGATTCAAAATTCTCAGAAATGGGATATTCTGGATCACGGATATGTTTTCTGTATGTTTTGTCTTCCTAAAGAGCATCCAGATATGTTTTTTCTTGAGATCCAAAATGTTTGTAATTTATTACAGATCTAAATATAGCTCAGATATGTTTGATGATTCAAAAATCTCACATCCTGGATCAGCATTGATGACTGGTATGTTTTCACTGTGGATGTTTTCTTTTTGTCTGAAGAGCAATGTATTTTTTCTTGGAATTCAAAATGTTGGACAGATCTAAATATAGCTCAGATATGTTTTATGATTGAAATGGTACATTCTGCATCAGCATTGTTGACTGGTATGTTTTCTTGTATTCTGTGTATGTTTTTCTTGCCAAAAGAGCATCCACATATGTTTTTGCATGTCATAATTCTTCTAAAAAAGCTGCATTTCACCAGAATATTCCAATTGTAATGATTCCCAGTTTTCTCCATCAAAACTTGTGTTACAGCTACTCAAAGCTACCAAGTAATGTGGAAATATATTTCCGATTTTTTCAAAAAATTTCCGCCTCCATCAGAGGTGTGGAGATGATGGATGCGCAAGCCATGTTCTGGATGACCTTTTGTTCTTTGATCCTTCTGAGGTAACAAACAATCATCAACAAAGGTAGCTTCTGAGTGCGGAATCATGAAAAGTGCACTTTTGAGGGTGTTATTCAATATATTGATGGATTTGACTTCATAGTTCTTCAGTTTCAATTGGTTTGTATCATATAATATGTATTTTGTATTTCAATTCAGCAGCTTTTCAGATGGATGGCTCAGGTTCCAGCTGGATGACATTGCCACATAGATACAAATAGTTGCCCAAAGGCACGGTCATTCATTCTCTACACTTGTATTTAATGAAAGATACACATTTCAGTACCCTAAAAGAAGAACATAAACCATTTTCCATGTTTCGTGTGCATGGCACCCTCGCAAGTGGATGGATGCCACATGGTGAAGTTGGATGATGAGTTTGAAAGCCGTGGACAAACAGATGCAAACTCTCCAAACATATTGAAACCAACGGAAATTGAGCAAGGAGGGGAAGGGAACACTATACTGACAATGGCAAAATAGGTCAGCAATGAGCATGATCAATTTAGGAACTCTGACTTACACACACTATCATAATTTGGCTAAAATTTGTAGAGAAAGGAGTATTTTTGTTTTTAAAGCTCAAAAACATATCATTCCAGCAAGTTGCAAACTAATACATGCCAGCTAGAGTCTACCAAATATCCATAGCATAAGTGAAATGATATTAGAACAGGCAGTTTTGTGTTTTGAGTAAAATGACACACCTGAAAGTCTTGTTCTCATTTTTTCATATTTAGGAGGGTTTTAAAACATGTAATTGTGTTGGGAAAACTTGGTGTACTGTTCTAAATTCAGGGAATTAGATTCACAGGATCCTAAGTAAAGGTTTGTGTCAGTAAGAAGTCTCTAAGTACAGTATCCACTTTGATAATGAAGGATTTGTTGTGAAAGTCATTGAATAGAGTGTATTTCTTCTGACTTTAACTCTACTGTTACCACTTGAACCATTCAATGGCCATGAAACTTACATAGAAATCTTCAGAATGAAAAACTGAATGGATTCCCAAATTTTGATGGAAATCAAAGGGTTGTGGGGGTACAGGAGGATGGGATAGGTGCAGAGGGTCACAATAAAGCAACTGAAAGTGCCAGAATCTCAGATGTGAGATCGGAATTCTTACGACTTTTACTCCCCGCCTGATGAATACATATTGCTACCTATCTCAAATGCTAATCATACTCCTCAGATACTTCAAATACATTTTTCCATAATTCTATCTTCCCAACAACGAACGCAGGAGCAACTTACGCAACTCTCCATCAGCGCTCGGCATTGTCCGAGCACTGTTGATGCGTGGTTGAGCATGCCATGTCACTCCATCATCCGTTCAACCAGCGTTGAACGTTAAACATCCTCCACGGCCACCCCATCAACCAACCCTCTCAAGTCCAAGGTCACCCTCAAATCATCGTCTACGACCGCCTCTCCACGTTTGCGCAAGGACCAACCGCCGGATGAAGGACCTGGGGATGTTCACTAGACGCGAACCCTAACGTGGTAAGCTGAGCACTTCGTCTGCGTCATTCCTCATTGGATCATCCATGCCAACAGCACCACCACCAAATGTTTGACCTGGCACGCCAATGGTTCATTTGGGCATGCTACGTCAAGCGCCAACGGTCCATCCGGCATGCAAGCGTCAACGGCGACACCAAGAGCCCACAACAAGGGTCTGCAACGACGGTTTTCCACCACCACCTCCACCAATGACGGCGACCGCCCACCATCACCCACCTGACGCACTGCCCGAGTCCCATCATCAGCCGGCCAGCACATCCAAAACCAGCCCAGTGGCCACCATTACCACATCCAACAACCACCACATCCAACAGCTTCGGCGCCGAGCATCGATCATCCTTGTCATCAAGGGTACGTCTTCCTCCCCCTCCAACATATACGCTGACCTCTTCGTATGTTTCCCATGTCCTGTCACTCAAACGACAACGGGCAACGAGCGCCCATCACCAACACCAGCACCAACTAACATAATCCCCAGTAACCGTCCTTGCCCCCTCTGCCGCTCACTCATCTCCCTTTCTCCAACCAATGCAAATCGTATGCAGAAACTGATCCCAGGTAAGTCTACAGTGCTTCCCTCTCCACACCTTGTTCTGACAAGCGACGATCACAGATGTCGTCATGCTTCATTGACCACGACCACGACAGACGGCCATGCCACCACGACGGACGAGCATGAAGCAACCACCACTACAACGGACGACCACGGCCATGGCCATGGACCACGACGTACCGCCACGGACGCCAACCTACCACCAACCGCGACCACGGTGCACTGTAACGTCAATGGACTACCACAACGCGAAGACAAAATGACGGACAATGGGGCCCATGACCAGACGACGACGACGACACTGGACCAACACAACACGACCACCCTACCAAGACCAGAACGGGTGACGGCGACCCAGCACGTTCCACGACGATGCAAAGACGAGAGGATCCCGTGCGTCCGTCACGACAGCATCCCCTCCCCGACTTCAGTAGTCTTCTTCAAAACTCCGCCAATCGTCGCCCTTGATCTCGAAAAGGAAGTCATCATCAAAGGGAGGGTACGGACTTTGTTGATTCTGGGATTGCGAGGGATTGCGCGATGTAGATCGTCAGATCGGGATAGGTGGAGCCATCGCGACGACGACCACCCCCACGATTTACCTCTTTTTGCTTAATCTCCATAAGTAGATCCTTTATTATATTCTTCTTATCATTTTCTTTTCCCTGTGCATTGTGTGATAGAGTAGCTACTTTTTTTTTCTTCTCAAAATTTAGTTTATTTACATCTGTGTACCAACGGCGTCTTATGCCCCAATGTCATCCAAAAAGGGTTTGTCGCATCCAGCTATTTCGGTCTGATTTAACAAAGGGAAACTATCTGAAGTGGTCTGAACATATACAAGCATATATTTGGTGAAATTTCAGAGGTTGTTTCTATGACGAACAAAGCTGTAGGACATATATTTCTCCTCAGAACTAAAACTGTGTATTGTTGACAGTTGTGTACCAAAGGCATTGAAAGGCCCAAGGTCATCCAAAATGGATTTGTTGCATCCAGCCTATTTCGGTCAGATTTGACAGAGGGAAACTATCTAGGAGTGTCAGAACATCATCAAATATATATATGGTAAAGTTTCCGTTGTTCTTTCTAGGAGAAACAAAGCTGTGGGAACATAAATGTCTCCCCAGAATTAAATAATAAATATGTACCCATATAATATCAACAATACCTCTTCCCACCCACCCTACAGCAAGCTGTGCATTAACCCACATCCTGACCAAGTGGTCAAATGCACTCCCTATGGAAATGAATAAAGTGCATTCTTGCAGAATTTAAGGCATAGGACTACAGCCAAGGGTGGTTACTGCCTTTTGTGTATATCCATAACACCATCTTTTGGTCCTATACAAGTTCATTTCACTGGCTTCTTTTCGTTCAAGCTAGTGGCGCACTTGATTTCTTTCTTCAACACATCATCTCAACACTTCACAGTTCAGTTTTGTTTGGATTATGGCATGTGTACATAGACAACAAAGTACACAGGGAATTGAATAATCAAGTCATGCTTTGCCTATGCCCCAATCCTCGTCCTCATTGTTCTCGAAGGCCTTAACTGCACTTTGTAGCTCCTCCATACTCTCGGGTTTCATCTGATACTCCTTGATCAATTGGATGATCTTCGCCAGAGCTGCATCCCGGTCAAAGTGGCCTGCCAGCTTCACATGTTCCTTAATATCCTTGTGAACTTTGCTCCTTTCGTCTGAAATGCTGTAGGCCTTAAAGGCAAGCTTGATCAAGCGGCGGGAAAGGTGTAGATGGGCATTCACCAGGAGGCCAAAAATTATTTGCATAATAATTGTGAAGTCAACGATGTATGCCATTAAACGTTGCAGCATGAGTCCCCTAAAGTTTTCCCGCTTAGCATTTTAACATGGCATAGTGAGGAAGACATATAATTGCTTGTACACATTGAAAATCCATTTTGCCAGAAAGAGAGACGCAACAATAGGAATCACAATGGGAGCAGCAGGTGCAGTTAAACCCCCAATTAACGCAGTCAAGCCACCAAGCAGTGAATAAGCACGGGGACTGACAAGTTGTAAAAAATAAGGTGGCACAGTCGACAAAATGGACTTACAATATTGTGTTGGGATCTGATGGCTCGTCATATTGATTCCCAACAAGTTCGATCATTAGCTTTTTCAGTTCCTTGCTTTCCAGATACTAAGAGCACAGTTTCCATAAGTGTGAGAAGATGGAATGATGTTAGGGTATTTACCCCGCAACCATCTTGAATGTTCCACACTTCAACAATATCAGTATGTAGAACCTGAAGGCACTCTTCTATAGTTTTTCCTGGAAAATTCACACTAGCTACGAGACCCATCCAATAACCTGACAAAAAAAGGGGTAGCTTAGTTTAACTTTCACTGAGCACACTGAAAGATTCATACGCTTCTTCCCAACCCTTGAAATAGGCGTCAGCATGACATCAAGAGAAGACGAACGTTTGAATGCTCACGCAATCACCGCATCGATCTTTACAGCTGGATTCACGCGTTGGGCGATGGCAGAGACTTACGCAACATCTTCAGCAACGTCAACTGCCAGGGTGTTTTTAACACAGTCAGTAGTGAGACGGACAAGCTCGTTCAACATCTTTCTGGTATCCTTGTATTCTTTATTGGCTGTGTTGGCAAAAAGTATAAGCACAGGCCCAAGATGTCTCTTGTAGCTTACTTGAGACGGCAATGTGCGGAATGTCTATACCGACGACCTTTTCGAAGGGACCAACACACAACTCTTGGAACTGTGCTGCTGTCTCCTCAGCAAGACGTGCATTTCAGGTTTCCCGATCCAAATGTTTGTTGCATTTGTGGAACTCTAGATTGTTACCGTATTCAACCTGCTCTACCAACTTATCATATTTGGTAAAAACGGTGATCACAGGAACTAAAGTGAACAGTGAGCCATCGTCGATCAGAAAACACCAAGAACCTACCAGGGCCAAGTTCCCCTTTGGACTTCATACGGAATAACTCCTCCACCCTAGCCTCGAACAAACGATCACCTTTAGACAAGGACACTGGGAAACAAAGCCTGTGCAAGACCTTCATCACCTTGTTCACTCAGGTGATTGAGGAGTGGTAAACATACCAGACAGCATGTACCTGATCCCTCACATTGGACATCTTCTTACAAGCTTTCAAAAAATCGACCACTTTCTGAAAGTTTTCACCCTCCCCATGCTCAAAGCCCTGACTGTCGTGTAGAACAAATCTTCCGTTTTCGCTGGCTATAATCGGAGTATTGATATTTGACACGCCAGCTTCTGAATGAGCCACCGTCTGGGGAAGGACAAGCTTTAGGAGCGGATCTTGAGAAGACAGGGAAGTGACCTCACAGCATCCTTGACACCGAAGCATTCGTTGATAAGGGAAGATTTCCCTACACCACTCTGTAAAAACAAACTGTGAGCTAATACCTGAGAATAGAGGTATAAGAGGGCCACTTTGCTGATGACCAGGACTCGGAACCTAGCAGTAAGGTAAGTCAGAGTAATCGGAGATTAAGCAGACTAACCGTTCGACCAACTTGAATAACTCATCCGTTGTGGGTTGTAGGTCGCCAGTCGTCGGAGGTTCTGCATTGGTTAAAGCACTCTAAGATCGATAGCACCCGCATTAGGCGGACGCTTTTGCGTTTGAAAAAGAAGTGCACACACCCCTGCGTATTGGCTAAACTTCAGGACGGCATTGAACTTGTCAAATGATTTTGACCATTCTAGAGTAAAAAGTCCTGCATCGGCAAGACAGGAGCGATTGCAGATGGGAGGCACTTGCCTTGTTTTCCGGAGAAGTGTGGGCCGACCTTGCTTCGCAGTTCATCAAGAGGTATCTTGCTCTTCGACGCAGCACGAAACAATCCGCGGAATCGGACTTGCAGATAGAGGGGCTCTAAAGGCGAAAGTTGACTGCGTTGACTAGGTTTGTCGTTCAATGCTACACATGATCATCGGCTCACCAGGGGGATGACAACTCAAAGTTGTGGGTCTTTGCATTCAGGAGACAAGGTGATTCCCGCTCGAACGATCCAATCGAAAGTTGGACCGATTTGAGGATGTGCTGGGATTCAACGCAGATTTCTAGCCAATGGGTGTCAGATGTCTGACTTGGGGGCAAAAACCTGGGAGGTTACCTGTGATCTCGATGCTGAGGCTTCCAGTTGAGCTACCTGTCGCGGTAGACATGGTGGGTTTGGTGAAAGGGAGGTGTTTAGCGCTCGGAACACGCTTTACACGGGGCATGGGTAAAGACTGACTGAAATAGAAATTTTAGCCTCGTTTAAAGTGATGGTGTCTGATACGGCGTTCGGTGTGACTGTCAGAGGATGTGACGTCACCTGCGAGCGCTTGAGCAGTAGTAGCTGGTTGATTGAGTCCGTTGAAATGAAAAGCGAGGAAGACGCGACATTGAACCCGTACAGGCCTCTGCCTTACATTCACAGCACAGAACAGAAGGCTAGTAGTGTCATCAGTTGTTCATGACCGTCCTCAAAAAGGGGGTTGAGGTGGGGATCGCCTCGAGAAGCATCCGCGGAAAATAACAGAGGGTGATTTGGGTTTCCGAAGTGAGTACAGGGTGTGCCCTATGACTTTCGCCATGCTGTCGGAGGCCAGTGCTTAGGAAGGGCATCGCATGATGGTTTGAAGTTCTACAAAAGGCCAACTTCCCCCACAATTGTGCCAGCGCACGCCAAGGTCTTTTGGTTACAAACGTACTGTTGGCCCGTTGCGGCTAGTTGATAATCTAGGTACAACTTACGTTAGAGGTGAGAGAAAATGGGAATATCAGAAAGCGTACTTACGGAGAGGAGCGAGTCACAGTTGAAAGAAGTAGTGTCGAGCTCTTACAGTCGAGCGAAACCATGTGTGCTCCTCCTCTGGTCTCGCATTGACTTTGTGAGGGATGAGATATGACTTTGTAAGAGCATGTTAGAAATTTGTGCGGTGCCACCCCTAGATATGAAATCGAAGCCCCAGTTGCGAACGTGCTTCTAGATTGAAAGAAGAAGGTAAAATTGCGACTTGAATGGAAACAAACACTATGTAGGCATAACAAATGGTCAGTAGATAAAATTTTGACGTGTCGCCCCGGCTCACCTGGGTGACAATAATCCGAAGTTGTCATGAAGATGCGCATCGACGTGGTTCATGCCCGCAAATGTCGTTGCAGTGCTACAAGTCGATGTTCCAGGTGCCAGCACTCGTTCTGGCCAAAATGAGCAGAAGCTTTCTTATCATGTTGATCAAAAGTTTAACCCATTACGGGTGCACCACCAACCCAAGAAAAAAGAACGTGCGTGTTGGGTGAAAATCCAGATAAGAGCCAAGACCTAGTATGATAGGTAAGCACATACACAACAAAGCCAGCAACGAGGCTTACTTTTATAGCAAACTGGTTGAACGTATTGTGAGGTCACCCCGTTCCCGTTCCTCCGAGGCATCGAAATCCAACCACTAGGTGTCTTTCTGAAATGTGACACGAAGAACTTCCACGGCGCAGTACGGAGAATGTGTTTTGCGACAAGATGAGCCGCGTTGGCATTGGCATTTCTCGAAGGACAAGCATCAATTGCAGATGACGAGGCTCATGTCGACCTTTCCCTGAGGGATTCTGCAAAACGTAGGCCCGAGCGCGGACGTTCCGCGAAACGGATGATTCCATATGCCAATGCCACACGATGGAGCTTCGCACCCGCTGTAGTAAAGGGTTGAAAGACAGTCGTGTGAGGCGCCTCGCACTCTTCCACAGAATAGCAGTAACCTTAGTTCGCCAAAGTAATTCAACAAGTCTTCACAGTAAACTCTGGATAAGTATTTTCGCCAATAGAATGAGCATGGCGCAACTCACAATCTCGGTAAGAGCCATCCCCAAGGTTTCGTAAATCTTCTAGCCTCCCCTTAAAGCCCTTCGGCTCCTCTTGAACGAGGTAGTGAAACCCTAGCTTGCGTTCTTTGGCTGGACTACTACTGGCATCCAGCTAATACTTGCGAATCTTCGTCATAAAGATCAATCTAATGAGTTGGTTGAAGAAAACCCCAAGAAGACCCACCTCATAAAGCCTCACGAAAATAGGTAGTCAATTTGAGTGTGGCTCAAGACTTTCGTAGTCAAGTTGGTCATGGCGTCGCTGGCGTTTCTAACCGGGCCAAAACCGAGCTTTGTCAAACATCGCAACCTCTCCCATTGAACCCTGAAATCAACGTTAATCGCCACTTATTGAGAGAATATTGTTACAGCCATGTGCGGAACATAGGGCGCAGCATGAAATTTTTTTTTTCGCCAAATAAACAATGTACTTAGTTGTAAAGTATTGTCTATGTAGCACGCTCAAAAGTTGTCCATTCAGCTTGAAAATAGAACCATTCGACGCAGATTTTCAATCTGCATCTGAGAGTATATAAATTTCCACTGCGAGGAGAGAATGAATGTGTAATTATGTACATGACAAAAATGCAAGAACGACGTTGACGTGGCAGCCTCCAGCCTCAATTCTCGTCCGCCCTGTCTGCCCATTGACTTTTATATACATTCGTCAAGCTGCCGCCCCCTTCAATCCACTAGGGAATGTCACGGGTTTACAAACCCGTACGGGTTGAGGTCGCGGGTGGGTATGGGTACGGGTACAGGTTGGCATTTTCGTACCCCAGCAAAACCCGTACCCATGACATGGGTGTGATGGGTGTGACATGTCAATCACGAACGCGTCACCTTCACCACGACACTCAACCACCACCACCATACCCTCCAGCACGGTTACCAGACAGCGTGGCACGGCAACAACAATGCAAAAGACTCGGATATGTTGGTCAGTAGTAGTGACACACAGACCACAGCAACCACAACGACGACGAGTCAAACACGATGGAATATGGGGGGGATAGACACAAACAGAGGGCGGGCTTACAAGGTGCGCCCGTGAAGTTCTCTTTTCTTTTTGTTTCCTGACTATTACAACAGCACCACGACAACGGCACCTGCCAATGGACCCCACCTCACAGATCAATGCCAACGTGGTCACATGCAGTTGCTCACCACCAACCACACAACACGATACCGTCAAAACACTGGCGCATGCCCTGTGCCCCAGTTACCAATAACGATGAGTCAAACACGATGGAATATGGGGGGGATAGACACAACTAGAGGGCGGGCTTACAAGGTGCGCCCGTGAAGTTTTCTTTTCTTTTCATCTACTGACTATCACAACAGCACAACGACGACGACACCTGCCAATGGACCCCACCTCGCAGGTCAACGCCAACACAGTCACATGCAGTTGCTCACCACCACACAACATGATGCCGTCAAAACACTGGCGCATGCCCTGTGCCCCAGTTACCATTTCCTGACTTTCCGATCCTCGCAGGGTTGCACGGCAGTATCGATTGACACTTGCACTGCCTTTGCGAGGTTCATTGGTCATTTCTGGAGGGATACCCGCACATGGGTTGGGAACCCCCGGGTTTTTGTAAACCCTCGACCCGTACCTGCGAAAACCCACACCCGTGGATGCGGGTACGGGTTTTGACGGGTACGGGTGCGGGTTACTCTGGAAAACCCCAGGGTAGCCCGTGACATTCCCTACAATCCACCGAAATCATGTCACGGGTTGCAGGGCATGAATGGGACGGGCCACGTCTGGCCTTCTGGAAACATTGATCAAGCAGGATAAAGCACCAATAAGCTTACAGTAATTCCCCCTCCTCCGGAAGCTTGACCTGAAGGTCTGAGCTGCCCAAAAGACGCAACGGGCGGAGGGGGAACGTTGAGTTGTGGATGCACGATTCAGTGATTATTTCTTGCGGTCGATGGAACATGGGCACATCGACGTGTGCAGATTTGAAATCGGTGTCGAATGAATCTAATTTCAAGCTGAATGGATGACTTTTGAGCGTGCTACATAGACAATACTTTACAACTACATAAATCCGTTTGTTTATTTGGCAAAAAAAAAAAATTCATGCCGCGCCCTATGTTCTGCACATGGCTGTAAAAAGCATACCGCTATGGATTGAATAAAACGGAATTTGCCTCTCAGTGAGACTACCAGGCGAAACATTGCCGGCTTTTATGGGCAAAGAAACTTGGAGAACGACACAATTACGCGGGATCCAAGATACCGCTCGCTCTTTTCCTCTCAACGTCTTGATCGGCGAGCATGCGCAATACCGTCTTGCTGAAATCCCACGTTCATGGCGAAGAAGGCAACGTTTGGACCTATGGTGGTAGGGAACAGGTGAACGTTTTACTACTATGTACAGTCGCGGACA